GCTGCTGCTGGGTGTTCTTGATTTGTATATTAATTATGCCTGTTTGTAGCTGTAAATTTGCTTCGGATTAGCAGCCCATTGGCTCTGCACAGGGATTCATTATACTAAGTGGCTTTTTGCACTTTCCTAGTTTTCAAATGATTCCATATTTCTGCTTTCCAAGATGCTTTGAATACCTTTCTCATTCAGTGAGAGTTTTCAATCCTTATTCAGACGATTATTTTTTTTCCCTTAAGAGAAAACATGCTCCTTTGGCTCTTCTCTCCAGACACTTCTATCTGGTGGCACACCAGCTTTGTCCATGGTGCTGCTCTCAAGCACAGGACGAAGTGCTTCCTCTCCCAAGGTTACAGAGAAATGCAGTCAATTCACTTTTGCTACACAGAATGCCTTACGCCATGGGCTTCAGGAATTACACAAGTCTCCATGGGATGCATATGCAGTCCCACTACCCTGCTGACTTTAAATGCTCGTCACGTTGGAATAAAACCGTCCCACATGTGGAACATTTTTGCTCTTGATAACCGAGTTTTCTCCCTGCATTTCAAAATGCCCAAAAGTTCTGAGCTGTCAGCTTTGTAGTTAAGGCCTGCGAGATATGCTTGGAAATGAACCACGTTTGTAATCGGCTGCATAAATCGGCCTTTGTTTAAGGCGCTCCGACTGGTGTCTGCGTGGGAATGTTTGTGTGCAGTTAGGATATAAATGTCAATGGGGTCAAGCCGATTTCCCTCATATTTTAGGAAAAGAACCATTCTGAGCTGAAAAATTGTATGCCAAGTTTCTGCCCGAAGCCAATTTTTACGATCAAATTAAAAACCTTTGAGAATAAGAGGTTATAATGGAAATACTAACACAGCCTTAGCCGTGGCAGCACTGGCAGGCACTGCAACAATATCAGGAAAGCTCTCCCTGCCCACAGTCTAAACTAAATAAAAAAGATGCCATTTTCTAACATACACCCCAGGCTAGCAAATAACAATGATTTAATGTACTTGCCCTGTAGTAATATAGTACTGCTGCAAACCTCTAAGCCAATTTTTCTTTCTTTTTTTTTTTTTTTAATTCTTTTTAAACATATATGCCCCATAGGGAAAGGATTGTAATTTAGCTCTTATTTGTGGATATATCACTTTCATTTCAACAACTCTTGAAAGCCTTCCTGCTGTCACACAGCGCTGTATGCAAGCATCCAACTGAATAAAGACCCACCAGGCTTTTTCAGGAGTTTATTCACAGGTTTGGCCCTGCTTATTGTAGTATGCACCACATTTAAATTAGATGAGGGCTACTGTAAAGCGATAACATTGTCAATGACTGGAATCTCACTTTCCCCTCTAACAGTCTGAAGCAAATAAATGTATTGGTTGTTCATTAACAAGTAAACAGTTTCTGCTACAATGTCAAGGAAAAAGAATGTGTTCATTAATATGAACGATCTTCATCTACAAAGATGATTTACACAATGCATGTTCATGAGATAGGTTTTCCCCTAACTAGTACACTACCAAACGGAAAAGCCGATTCTTAGAACTTCCTTGAAATTACAATATTGTTTGCTTACCAATAAGAACGACAGTCTCAGTCACCTATGCCACCATTGTAAGCACTATAGTAAGTACTTAAAAAAGAGATTTCTGGAATCACTTGTGGAATTAATAAAATTGATAACTACAGACTTACACTGCATCAATGATACATATTATTCCTGTGATAAGTTAAGCTAAAAATAAGATTAATTTGGTTATAGAAATTCCTTAAACAACAACACTGAAATTATTTCAAACTTGAAAATTTTCAAGAATTCTCTGAAAAAATCTGCAAACACTGGCTAAAAAAGCAAAGCAGTTTGGATACACCAATGTAATCAGCATGCCTTGTGCTTTTCTGTTAACCCTCTGAGTATAGGTGTAGTACTCTGGATTTTTTGTACATTAATTCTATGAAAATTATAACTGACAGAAATATTAATTTATGTGTTGCGACTGAATGAATCACGTTCTAAATACATTTGAGCTAGCCACTTCACCAAGTAAGAGATTCATCCATCCTAGAATTGTAACTGTACACTAGAGAAGCCAGTCTCCGGCAACTATAAGGGAAGCTGAGATAATTGCCTTTGATTAGATACATAACTCTTAGATGGATGCATCTAGATGAGATGAAACCCATCTCAGGACCATTTAACTGTGCTATCACCTATCACCTACCCATCGCTACATTTTCACATCAAAGTTTGCTTACTACATGCAAGCTCACTAGAATATTGCACTTAGGTTGGAGATCGTGTTATCCCCACTTACACTTAATTGAGAGGAATTAAGCTGGAAGTGACCCTGTTCTATTCTGTAAATACTAAGATCAGCCCGACAGGCACCTCTGGAGACCAGATATTAGATGACTTGAATTGCTCTGTGAAAAAGCTTCTCCCTTTCTCCTTGGTGATAGATGGGGCCTACCATGATGGCCATCCGTCTCAGCTAACTACATTGGCTTGGCAGGAAGAAAGTGGCCTTGTATTCATAGTAAGCACTTAAAAAATTATTTTTAGCAATGCCTTACATTGATTCAAAAGGAAAATGAAGAAAGAGGTCAGGAAGATCAGTATGTACTACAGTAAAATGAATGTGGTGTGCTATATGCTCTCTCAGATCATCACATTAGAAATAGTCTGTTGTCTTTGATTCCTTTTTTAAAATGGTGTTTCAAGTATTTTGGGGGGCACGTAGTCTGTTCTTACTTGCTCCCAGGAATTCAGACATTAGAAAAGAAATGGGGCAGATGCTAACGTGCAAGCCTGAAAAATTATTTCCACAAAGCCAAACATATATATACATGTATATGGTTATGTTTAAAAATGTGAATATATTCAAAACTACCATGGAAACTCATTTTAAAACAGTTTTCAGATTCAGATACTTTTCCTTGAAACCTACAAAGAGGCTATCAGCAATTTGAAACTCAATATGTTACAGACCTAAAAATAACTTAAATGTTTTTATAGTTATGTTCATAAAACACAAGGCAAAAATCAGAAACACGTAAGATGCTGGGGATGAGTAGTGATTTCAGGATCTAGGATTATTTTCACATACAATTTAAGTAGTGCAAGATGGTGTAAGATGAAGGAGCCAAACATCTTATTTTAATGATAAGCCTGTATTCTAAAGCAAGGCAAAGGTGATAGGAAACTCCCAGGTGGGTTTTGAGTAATATTTTTCATGCTAAAGTTGAAATGTATATATATATTTTTTCTTCTGACCCCCCTCTCTAATTAAGAAGAATGGCCATTGGCCTTTGCTTTAAGGCTGCCAAATTTTCCCAACAGTCAAAAAGCATGTGGTATTAATGGACACTTTCTTGTTACCAAGTGTATGCCTTGCATTTACACGGTTGAGTTGCATCTATTCTGAAGGGATGGCTGTACTACAATGTGGGAAGGGCGATGCAGGCAAAACATGTGCCAGATCCTTATCTGCTATAATTTGATGTAGGTAAGTAAGTGGCACAAGAGAGAATTTATTTTGGCTGAGCGTTTGGTGCCATGAACAAAAAATATCTGGCCTACCCAAATGTTATTAAAATACAGCCATTGACATCACAGTGACAGTGATGACAGTGTGTTCTGTGTAGCAAGGGACTTCACAGGGACTCTAGGATTGGATAAGCATGGTCAAGGATGAGTCCTTTCCCATATGCAGCCTTCCCAAATCCTCAAACTTGAGGACTTTCGCATGGCAGTTCCTTTATCCTTTCAATTCTTGCCTCTGTGGAATTGTCCTGCAAGACACCTACTTGATTCACCTAGGTTAATAACTTGAGTTCCAGTTAGAGTGACTGAGGCCATGCGTATGCACAATATGCATATGGATGTATATTCAGAAATCAGGCTCCTAAAGTGAAATTTGTTCTATTAAACTTAATAATCTTGAGTTTGGTGTCTGATGTGAGCTCCTGCCAATGGTTCCTTCTACAGTCAAAGAAGTGAGATCAATAGATGTATCAAAACATGAGTCCTTCCTAAAATGTGTGCCACAAGAGATGAGATGAATCAAACCTGAAAATGCTCATTTCTGTACTACCAAGAAAGTCAGGAAATCTAACTTAGACTAAATGTCTCACTTCTAGTTTAACACTGGCTGAAGCTAATTGCTGTGTATGAAATATTTGTACTATTTGTGTGAAAATTCACAAGATGAAAATCCTATATTCAAAATCTTCAAAGCTTTTAATATATAAATTTTTTTATGACTGAAACAATGAAAGATGCATTTTAAAAGATGGGGAACAATTCCAGTGTTTCTTAAAATGTGGTTCACCTGATACTTCCATCTAGAAACGCAGTAGAACATTACACCAGATTCAACAAGGTGCAGGTACACATTCAGTGCCACAACTGCTTGTAGTGATAGCTCCATGGGCAAACACAACTCAGAACAGAAACTGCACTGTGGGCAACTTGCCCTGTTCCTCCAAACTTTATTTATACTTCCCAGCAAGATCAGCAAAGTCTGCACATCTTTTTGGGCAGCATACTGATATTTCCATTTGTATGATACTAAATACAAAGAGACAATGAAAGAGAGAAAAAAGAGGGGGGAAGACAGAGAAAACCACATTTTTATGACTTTTTAAAACACCATGACAAAATTTTGTATTTAGATGGGAAAGCATCAAATATTGTTGATTTTATATGGGTAAAAAGTGAAAGTATAACTTTAATAACATTATCTTTCATTTTAGAATAGGATTCTGGAAGCTGCATTTTCTATTCTAGTGAAATTTTGAATTTTGAGTGAATTTATAATCACTTTTTTCCTTTCAAATTACAACATTTGAAGCAAAAGTCTACAAAGTACAATATCTCTGTGGAATTCAACTTTACAATAATGGTTAAAGAAAATGCCGCAATGATTGTTGAGGTTTTAACAAACCAAAAATATGTATATTCTGTGTAAATGCCCATTTTATTGAATATTACAAATAGAAATGTGAGTTATTTTTAGTTTCTCCACTCTAAGACAAAAACTTTCACTAATACAGGTTAGGCTTTACATATATATTAAATGACTTTATTTTCCCCAATTCAGAAATACTCCAGCTGTTTTAAGGGTAATTCTCAATTTTAATATTTAAATTTCACCACAGTATTAGCTGTGGCTATCTATGGGATAACCAGGTCATGCTGAATGGAAGGATGTCTGTACATTTTTGAAACAGGACCTTCTCAACTACATCACTACTTACTTTACATGACAGAACGTGTTCTCAAGCCACTTCCCAAGACTCTGCATTGTCACTGGCAAAAAACGATAGGGAAGCAACCCTCCGTGGCCATCATCATGTCATCTGCTGTAAACTCTAAGGCTGCCCTAAACTTAATTTCCCAACTTAAACTTAAACTTAATTTTGATTCCTGCTTAAACTTAATTTTGATCCTGCATGATATCCTCCAACAACAGTCATTTTCTACGGAAGCATAATGCAAGTTTAGAATGAGCTGCTGTGGAAGATACTATTTGTTTCACTATATTTTTGTTTTTAAAGCCCGTATTTGTAGCCCCTAAGCGATAGTGTGTTTGGTACTATTTTGGCCCAAAGCTAGCAAGGAACTTTAGGGTACTATAAAAGGTATGTGCGTATAAAAGCAAAAAAGCCAGAATAAAGCCCTAATGTGGGCTGTCAAGATTTAAGTTGATTCTTTACTCAGAGGGTTAACATGTGCTAAAATTACATACTGCAGTTCCTAACTTCACTGATGAAAACATTCACTGCTTCTATCTTGAAATAAAAAAAGCAAAATAGCCTTAACCCTTTGAGGATAATATTAGCAGCAAGTTACAATCTAAACAGAGAACAAGTATTTCAATTAATTAGGAAATAATTCTTACAAAGGTTCTGTAAGCACCTTTTTCTATTCCACTGTCTCAGCGGTTAGTGCTGGACAGATTGGATGTGATCACCTCACACGGGTCTGAAGGATTTTCAGGGTCTCAAAGGGTTAAAGCCAAGACTTGAGTAAAAGTGTTTTATTAAAAGGGTGAGTTAGGTGAGCGAACAGTCTCGGATGAACTTGGTGAATAGTCTTCCGATTCGGAGTTGAGTTCAGGTGGAGCCTGCTGTGCCTTGTAACGTCCCCTCACATCCTGGTTGCGTCTTCGTCGGAAAACCTGCCTCTCCTTATCAAGAGCGGTGGTCTGGCAGGGGCATAAAATGAGAATAAATGAAATTAGGCTGTGTGTGAAATGCAAAGCTAATGAAAACCATGAGTTTTTATGTGGCCCGCAAATACCAGGGATAATAAGTGTTCAGACCAAATTAAACCTGTTCTGTTTCAGTCAAGTCTGAAAGGTTTAGCCCACAACATGGCTAAACACTTTAAAAAGTGCATTTCCCAAACCTTAAGAGGTAGTCTGACATCATCAAGCAGATACAGTACCATATATATGGATGCCATATGTTCTACTTCTGGATGCTATTAATTTCATATTTTAGTAGATTCAAGTTTCAAGCCAAATACCAACTGACCTTCCCCCCACCCTTCTCTAAGTATAAATCTATTTCTATAGGTGAGGCAGAGATGTATGTTTGTCTTTGATTTGACCTAATGAAGGTTGATACACACTCACCCATGTTCAAGTCAGTGCAATTGGCTATCAGAGATGGATTGGGATGAAGTTGTCAGACAAGAGAGGAAAAACAAACACTGAGGGGAGCTAGCCCAGCTCTTTCACACCTCCTCATGCTACTCAATGGATGTTCTTAGGAAGAACGCTGAAGAGCTCTGGTGGAAGAATCCATTTAGCCTGTTTATCCTGCCTCCTCCCGTTAACCAGGATCTATCAAATTAAATAGTCATCAGACTTTCTCAAGAATTCAAATATGAATGGGGAGATCCAGAAAAAGAGGAGGCAGAATGTTTGTTTGATAGGCTCTAATTTTTGGTTAGTTTCTGCCACTTGTTGAGAGTGTGGTTCTTAATACAATTGCTGTAGCTTCAAATCACATCCCTTCTGCTTTGTCTGTCACAATCACAAGGTGAAGCTGCAACCCAGTAAGGGCAGTCCAAGCCTGGCCAATGATTTCAAACTAGGGGTGTTTTTGTTTTCTGTTTTCCTGAAGTCACTAATACAAGTTCAACAGGATGGCCTTGATTCAGCAAGAGCGTTTTGACACACAGTTAACTGCTTTCTGAGGCAGGGCTATCTTCTTGAAACATGGCCCATGTTTTTGGGGAAAAAGGTAAAAAAAGGGAAAAGGCAGATGAGATTACCCACAAAACACAAATGGTCATTTGGTAATTACACTGGAGGAAAGGATAATGTTGAGAATTGAATAGGTTTAACTCCTTGTAAATTCTCTTCCCTAGCATGAAAATTTCAGTCTAAAAGAATGTAACCAAAAGGTTATTCTGCTTTGAAGGATTTATTGTTTTCTCTTGAGATATACATGACTGATTTCTCTAGAAAATGTACCAGTTATACTTTGGGCCTCATAGGGGAGCAGAGATGCATTTCTAGCCAATATACTCTTAAAATCAAAATGAAAAAGAAATCCATCATACAGGTGCAGAATAGCATTATAGCCATCCATGCTCTAAAATAATGCAATCAGCATTCAATAATGATGTAATAGAGACAGAAAGATGGACGAGAGTACAGAACTACTAGAGCAAATGGATTTAGTTAGGCTAAATTGCTGAACTATTTCTGAGTCCAGAACCTACACAGCACTACTTTAAGGGGGTAAAATAGTTACCTTTCCTAAGTTCATCCCTCTATTTTAAATAATTGCTAAAAAATGCAACACTTACAATCTGCTGAAAATTTCTTTGTTTACTGCTAATCTCTTGGATAAGAGCACTCATTAGTATTTTCAATGTCTTTAATTTTTCTCGGCCTTGAACCAATTCAGTTTTTGATTATTTTTTTAATGTGAAACAGCAGAATACCTAGATCATTTACACACAGTGAATATACCACATACTGTGTGAAAATTGAAAAGAATGGCATATATTACCATTCTATAAAATACAGATTTCCATTTAAAAGATTTTTTTATGCTTACAGGAAATAAGCATTTATTTAAAGTTTAAGCCACATCACATCATGCTGCGGTAACGGATACTCTCCTCCAAGAAGGTTAAACATTTCTGGTCAAATAAATAGAAAATAGTTGTATTGAATTCAAAATTTAGTTTTAAAGTCTGGTATAGGAGAATGGTAAATGTATATGTAAAAAGTGAAAGCATTTGAAATTAGAAGTAATTAGAACTAATTAAAATTAGAATAAAGTTACAGAAAAGTGAATACTCTTGAATAAAAGGTTCTTTTTAAAGTTTAGCCTGGGATGTTTCTTTTTTTTTTTTAAAGGACACAATCATTAAACTGCAAAACTAGTTAGACAATTAAATACCAAGACATTATTTTAAAGATGTCTTCAAAAGTAAAACCCAAGATGCTGCTTTTCTGCTATCGTTAAGGAAGCTTTGGAGGCTATTTGTCTAAATATATGTAAAGGCACTTCTTTCCTCAATAACCAAAAGCAAGTGAAAATCCCTGATCGTTCCATCTAATCCAGCACCTATATGCTACAGTTTGTAGTACCAAGCATTTCTGATTGGTTAACTCTTCAGAAATTCCCTGTGATATTTTTGAGACAACATTTTTCTTCACATTTTTACCAGAAGTCTTACCCTGAATGGGTTCTGACTGGCCTTTATCCAGAAGGCCATCCATACCTGCAGACTCCGTGGCATTATGTGTTCCCTCTCCTGGTATGCGAGACATTCAGAGCCTTCCTCACCCAACAAGCTTATCAAATAAAGATGTATGAGGTCACTGAGCCAAAGAAGGGACTATTGATCAGGTGAAAGCAAAACTAAGTAGACCATATTCTAACATTTAGGGTTTCTAACATTTAGGGTTTCACACGTCAGAACCACAGAACAGGGTCAGTCCTGGACATGCACAGAGCAGTCACTGTTCCCTCTGGACTTGCAAGATAGGGCTTGTTCCACCCAATGTTATGGTGACATTTTGCACTTCTGGCATTTGTTACGCTACCATACTGTATAGCATTCGGCATTTGGCACAAAGGTGGTTTTTCATCTGATGATGTCAGTTACTTTTTGCCTCTGAAAACTTTAAAATATGAAAGATCAGTGCATTGCAATGCAGGGAAGATACAATATACGATGGCGTACTGACTGCATGCGTTTTATAATGCAGCTCTCACCTCCTGTACCCTGTTGTCCATGTGGCACATTCAAAAAATCAACATTTTCACTATTATTGCTATTTTTGTAACAAAGACCTCTTATATGTATTGCCTTGATTTAAATGATTTATTATTTCATATACTATTCACTGTTGGATGGCTCGCCAGGGCATGAATTGGTCCATTACGGATTTTCAGGGCATTTCTTCTTTAAGCTCCTCTTTCAATAAATAATAAGAGGATCTGAAGTGCACTTATGCTTCACAGGGTTGCGAAGCCCAGATTTTCATTATCACATTTTGACATTTTTTCTCCCAGCTTGAGGTGAGAGAGTGAGAACTTTGAGCGCTATATGATAGTAATGGCAACTAAAATGTTAGTGTAGTGTTCTTATTTGAGCTATGCAGCTGTCCTCTTACAATCCATATGAGGAAATGTAGAGCTTCTTATCCAGGAGCAGATAAGTGGATTGCCTTTAATAGTTTGGTGCTGATGGGTCTGAAGCACTTCATTAAGCACTAATGTATTTTGCATCAACATTTAGTAATCCTGACACCCAGTACCAAATGGTTAACAGGCTATTTTCCTTTTTTTTTCTTTTCTTTTCTTTTTTTTTTTTTTAATGCATTTTATTTGAAGTAAAATGGTGTTATTTTAAAATCATCGCTACTCTCATCTAAATACTGTGGGACAGCTAGTGCTTTTCCAGGATTTTACCATTGGGAGCACCTTTTTCCTGACCTCTAACTCAAGATGTTGCAGGACTCCCGAGCCATGCAAATTCTTTTCTTCTTGGAAAAGGTTGAAGTCCGTGTTTATGGACAGACATTCAAAAACGGCATCTGCTTTGATATACGTGTGGGATTTGCAGAGGAAGGCACCTTATTTTAGTTGCGGGATGATATTTTCTGTCAGATCAGTAATTACTGAAGCAACTGCTTTTTATGGATGCAAGCAGTGATTGTTTTTCTTTTCACTTGTCTTAATTTACTGCTGGCCACCAAATATAGATATACATTCATTTCATTAATAAAAGAACATTATTGTTGCATTTTGCCTCTTAGCCCATACATTATTCATAAAGGCTAGGAGACGGAACTGGGGATGCAGCTGTTCATGCATTAATCTGAGAACCATTCCCTTCACTTGCTTTCATTCTGCACGAACATATTTGCAATTTGTCTGCAATTTTTGTGATGCTTTGTTAGCGAGTGAAATTAAATGGACATATGTATTGCAACATTGGTCTTTATCTTCCAGTGCATTCTTCTACACACACGTAGGTGTGTGCATGTATTTAAATGTTCACGTCTGGATAATTTTAGCCTATTTCCTTGAGCTTTTGGCTAGTGACCTCCATATACTGAGATATGTAACGGCAGATTTCCCTGCTGTAAAAATGACCATTAAGTGATAGCAGCAACTTTTACAATGCAAGGGCACAAGGCCACGCCAGGCAGCCTTTCAGTATGCCTTTTTTCTATTGTTTTCCATTGGCTTCTTGGTTATATATATATACATATATATATATATATATATATATATATGTATATACATCCATACATGTACGATAGATTCATGATTCCAGACACTTCTTGGAGAGTGCTTCAAACTTCGCAATGCACCTCAGTCCAGGAGTGAAAGACGCATTTATTTGTAGCCCCTCAGGCACAAGCCATAACTAAGTCAAGTTACATGGTGATTTGGAGACGTGCAAATGACCACATCGAGGGGACAAATCCGTCGAGTGGATTTGAACTTAAACCTCCAAATGCAAAAGGCCGGTGCTTCAGTGCACCATGTAACCTCTGGCATGGAATTTTGCTTACATGAAAAGAAAAAAGAAAGAAAACCAAATCAATTTGATGTATGCTTCTTACTGTAGTGGTGAGTGAATACCATGATAAGTATCCCACACATATAACTGCTGAATTCATATTGCTATATTTAAGTTCGTGTTTACTCTTTGACATTCCCC